ATACTATAACCTACAGACTTTATTTGATTGTATCAGTTTTGCTACTAACATCTTTTTCTTCAGTCCAGGATTCAGTCTGGAATCACACATTGCATTTAGAGCTCATACTGTTTTAGCCTTCTTTGGGCTGTGACAGTTTCTTAATCTTTGCCTTTCATGACCCAAGGCTTTTCAAGACTACTTTTCAGTTATTTTGTAGAATATCCCTCAATTTGGGTTTGTCTGATATTTACTCATAATTTTATTGAGATTATTCATTTTTGGCAAGAGTACCACAGAAGTGATGTGCCCTTCTCAGTGTATATCATGGTAGAGTATATATGCTGTCAATATGTCTTCTTACAGATGATGTTGACCTTGATCACTTGGCTAAGGTGGTGTTTGCCAGGTTCCTCCACTGTAAAATTATTATTTTTCCCTTTGCAATTAATACATATCTTGGAGTAAATACTTCCCTTATTCCTTCTATATTTATTAATTGGAGTTTCTTTGTGAGGGAAGGGCTCTTCCTTCTCTTCCATTTATTTATCTGTTCAGTTACTTAATATCAGTATGGGATCATTCACTTTTATTTTGTGGGTTATACTCAAATACTATAGTTATTTATTTTGTTTCTAAACTGTTCCAGTTTTGGCTGTTAGGAGATTTCAGGTGGCACCTGTGCCCTATCTTTCTTGAGCTCTTCCTTACTTTCTGGCACCGCAAAATGTTCTAAGCTTGCCTTAGATTTTCCCTGCCCCAGCCAATTCTGGAATCAACCAATTCTCTAAGATGCCTTGGTTTCTTTTATTGGGAAGTGGTATTTAGAAACCAAGATGTGAGAATTGGGTGTGCTCATTGCTACTGGGGTACCTTGCTTCTGAGCATTGATTGTTTTTTGTCATTTATACATTTCTCTTGGATCATGACATTCAGAATACCCATTCATTTTTTTAAATAAATGAATTTAAGACTATAAGTTTTTCTCTGAGTCCTTTGGCATATCATGTTTCCCTTATTTATTTCTAAATAGTTTATAGTATTTATTTTTATTTCCTCTTTGGCCCAACGTTTGTTAGATGTATGTTTAAGTTTCCAGTATGTAGATTTTTTAATTGGCTTTTTGTTGTAAATGTTTCATGTAATTTTACTATAAGCAATGAATTGTGTATATGATTTTTTTTCTTTTTAAAAACATATTAAAATTTTATTTTTTTATTTTTTTATTTTTTTTAAAAGACTTTATTTATTTATTTAAGAGAGAGAGAATGAGATAGAGAGCACGAGAGGGAAGAGGGTCAGAGGGAGAAGCAGACTCCCTGCCGAGGAGGGAGACCGATGCGGGACTCGATCCCAGGACTCCAGGATCATGACCTGAGCTGAAGGCAGTCTCTTAACCAACTGAGCCACCCAGGCGCCCCAAGAACATATTAAAATTTTAATTGTGGCTGGTTACATGGTCAGTTTTTGTGATTATACCATGTGTTTGAAAGAATGATTATTAGATATAACCTCTAATTATATCCATGCATCAAGTTTGTTAATTATGTTATTCAAATCCTCAGTATCTTTACTATTTTTCATATCAGTGTAACCATTCCATTTCTGTGAGAAATGTGTTAATAACTCCCATTATGATGAATAATTTGTTCTCATTGGATTTTTAACAGATATTTCTTTATGTTTTGAAGCCATGTTTTGGGTATATGAAAGTTCATGATCATTATTTTTCTTGGTAGATTGGGATTTTTATTAAAACTAAAGGGTTCTATTGTATTGCTAGTTGTTAATATTAATGTATATCTTTTATGATTTTTAAAACATCTGGTATATATTTTTCTAACCTTTTATTTTCTACATTTCTGTTAATTTTTTTTTTTTAGATGTGACTCCTGAAAACAACATTTGGCTGATTTTTTTTCCCTTAGTATGCCAAAAGAAATACTTGTTGTGGATACAAAGTGAGGCTGAAAATAGAATTTATTAAAAATATTTTAGAAGTGCATTTAGGCTTTCAGAACCTCTCTCCCATTCTTTCTCCCCAAAGACTTTTAATTACCTTGTCCTAACTCTGGCAGATGGCATAGGTACTATCAAAATATCTAATTCCCCACATGATCTCCCCACAGTTGAAGCCCATCATTTAATAATTCCAGCGCACACCACAGAAGCTTAAGGCATTTCGATGTCTCATTTGTTATATTTTTTAAAGAAAATAGCATAATAAATATCCATTATTACAGATTCAAAAATTGCCATGATTTTTGTCATATGTGTTTCATTTGTCCCTTTGTTTCTGTTGTTTGCTAAAGTAATTTAAGGAAAACCCAAGACTGCATGCTATTTTCATCCCTCTTTACTTCAGTGTGATGTGTCATTTTGTTATATAACAACAGTATCATTATCCCCAAATTAGGAATAGTTCCTCTGTATTTTCTAATTCTCAGTTAATAATCAAATTTCCTTAGTATTTAAACAAATTTAGTTTATTTGTTTGAATCTGGTTCTATACAAGATCCACATGTCACTTTTGTTGCTTCTTTTTTATCTAGAAAAGCCACCCTCCCCCCCTTTTCTCCCTTCATCATTATTAATTTGTAGAAATTGGACCAACAGTCTTCATTGTAAATATGAATAGACAGCAAAGGATCTCCAGACTGTAAGGGAGGCTTCAAATGTGAAAGACAAAAAACAAAGCAAAGAAAAAATTTAAAAACATAGAGGAAACAGAAGCAATGCAATAAGCTGAAGAAAACTTTAAAACACAGGGTAATTGATATCAAAATTATCATCAAAAGAATAAGAGAAGAAATTGTATCCATGAAATAAGAACAAGGGGTAATAAAAAAGGGACCTTTTGAAGAATAAGAAAGAATTCCTGAAAATTAAAATATGATAGAAATTAAAAATTTTAGAGGCAGAATGGAAGATAATGAAATTAAAACAAAATGTCCAAAGTAGTAAGATGGCAAAAAAATTTAAGAAAATTAGATGTCTCCAGATGGTTCCACATCCAAATAGAAGGATGTTCCAGAAAGGAAACAGAAAATGGTAGGGAAGGAATCATTCTCCTTAGGGTAAAGTTCCTGGAACTAAACATCAGTTTCCAAAACAAATACTCATGAAGTGCCCAGCACAGAGAATGACAAAAGACTGACACGATAATATGTTGTGATGAAATTTAAGAATACTAAGTGAAGAGAGAAAAATGTTAAAGCTTCTGAACCAGGGCAGGGGCAGAGTAGGGAGAAGCTACCATGTATCATACAAAGAAGTAGGAATTAGAATGGCATCGGACTTTGCAAAACAGCACCAGAATTTAGGTAACAGAGGACGGTACCCTAATTTTCACATGAAGAATATTTTTCTCATGGATGGATCTGTATTCAGCTAAACTGTCCAGTCTGATATATAGTAAAGACATTTTCAGATATTCACATTCTCAAATTTACCTCTCATGCACAAAATGCTCCTGGAGGATTTATTCCACCAAAAGGAGTACACCATAGAGGAGGAAGACTTTAGAGCCAAGATACAGAGGATTTGACATGAAAGAGAGCTGAGGACAGTTCCTGAAATGACAAGAAAGGAAAGTCCCAGGATGACAGTTGTATAGTCAATTGAGAGAATACCCACACTGGAGCAGGGGAATAGAGAGCTCTGGGAAGGATATTTCCTAGAAAAGATATGATATTGAAGAGTTTTCTGCTGTGTCTGAAGGTGTTGAGAAAGAAGAATTACACCTCTGTCAGATTTGGAAGATATATCAGTGATAGGCACACAGAAAACTGAGAAGAAAAGGAGATGTTTTTTTAATCCAGGGACAACAAAAAGTTGTACAAGAAAAGAAATGTGATCATATCATAACATGTGGCTCACTAGTTAAGAATAATGTAAATACTAAATTGAAAGGTTTATTTAAACTGGGAGGGTGAGATGAGAAAGACGTGTGTTTGTATGTGTGTATGAGTATAGGTATGTGTAGGAGGGTCAGTTCTTTTTAGGATTGTGATATAAGCTGCTAGCTACCTACCCTAACATCATTGTTCTTTCTTCCTTAGTAATAGAACTGTGGATATATCTGCTTTACTTGAAATAGGTATGGCCATGTGTCTAATGTCTAAGTTCAGCAGAAGTAATCGGTGGTACTTCCAAGAAGTCTCTTTAAAACAGAGTGAGCCATTATTCTCCTCTTGCTGCTGGTCTGGAATGGGAAAGGAGTTGTTGGGGTTTCTGCCACTATCGTGGTCAATGAAAATAAAGAACACACACCAAAGGTGGTAGACCAGAAAGTTGTAAGGATCCTGGGACTCTGATGACTCTATAAGGCTATTATCAGCATCGGATTGGCTAACAATACATTTGTCTTATGCAATATAATATACTCTTGTATATTTAAGCTATCATATTTAGGTCTCAGTTATATCTAGCAGAATCAGATCTCAACTGATTTGTAATTTACTAAGTAATATCTAAATATTAAGGAACACTGAAATATTAAGGAATAACAATATAAGCATGTTATTTAGTTATATAGAAGGAAATACTAGAGGAATCAGAAAAAATGTTGAAAGTTGTTTTGGGAAGTGGGAATTGAGGTAAAGGCAATGATTACTGTTCTTTCTTTAGCTCTTTTAGTAATATTTGACATTTGAAATTGTATAGATGTATTACTTTTAATAAAAATTAAATTGATATTTGTGTAGTTACATTTTAATTAGTAATTCAAGTGAAAATGCATGTTCATTGAAAAATTTGAACAATACAAAAGATACAGAGTAAAAGTTATGCCTCCCTTCGATGTTCTTTGCCTTTCCCCTACCCATCAGTTCCACTCTCCTCCCCAGGGATATTGGTGTTTGATATGTGTTTCTCCATACTTTTTCTGTACATTCATTTAGCATATATAAAGATGCATAGTTTTTTTAACATTTATTTTTATTGAGTGTATTTAAATTTTAATTTAATAAAATTCTCAGGAAGGAATATTTGTAATGGATGTTGTTTGTTTATATTTTTAGAATTCAAGATGTAAGCATGCAGTTAAAAAGTCAACAATATGAATTTCAGAGAGTACAGAAAGAATTGAGTCATTTGCAACATGAATTAAAAATTAAGCAGAGACAATCACAAGTATTCAGGTAAGATTGTCTTTAGAGAATTGAAAATGATAAGGATTGAAAAAGTGCATTAACTTTATAAACATTCAAACAGATTTTAGTAATATAGTTTCTATATTTGGTGTGGTTGGAAAAAAAGGAAACAACTTCTCTTGGGGTTTTTTTGACCATTAGCTCAACTGAATAGTTTTAGCAATATATTTAAATCAGGCAAACACCTTGCTTTTATTGTGCAGTAACATTTAGAATGAAAGCACAGTAACTAATTCATTTTTCTCTTGACCAGTATTTCTTGGTATATTCAATTCCCTGCCTGATAGTCCGTGATACAAAAAGTAATAGAATAGAATAACTTTTTAAAAAAAATATGTATTTATTTGAGAGAGAAAGAAAGAGTGTGCATGTGGGCATGAGTAGGGGAGGAGCAGAGGGAGAGAATCTTCAAGCAGACTCCCTGCTGAGTGTGGAGCCCAGCTAGGGGCTCATTTCAGGATCCAGAGATCATGACCTGAACCAAAACCAAGTGTTGGATGCTTAACCAACTGAGCCACCCAGGCACCCCTAGAATAGGGTAACTTTCTAAATGATAGTAATAGACCTCCTAAATTTCAAAATCTCCAACATAAATGGTGTTAATCCTGCTTTTATATAATCTTTGGAGGGCTTATAATACCTAAAGGTAAAACCCAATGTTCTAAATAAATTAGGAAGTTCATTTTCTTTTATAAAATTGGAATTGAATATATTGAGAATATCAGAAACAGTGATTCTTTTCAAAATTGAGTAACTTATCTTTAGAAAAGGGAAATAAGTTAGTTAAATGAGCATTATAAATAGACACAGGTTCTGGGTTACTAAAAAAATATGTTGAATGAATATTTTGAATGTTAGATTCCTTTCTTTTCTTTTTCAGTCTACTAGTTGTTGCCAGAGACATTGTTCCATTAAAAAAATTACCTGGGCTAATATTTTTTTAATATACTATCTGGTGATCATCTGCTGGTCAACTGCCTTTCATAAATGCCTTGTACATAATGATGCTCAATAAATAATTTTTGAATCAATGAGTCTACTCATAAAACAGATGATCATTTTTGTCATCAGAAATCTTTTCTGCCTTGTCCTAGAAATCTGGTATTGAACCAGCAGGTGACTCCAGTTCTTCACTTTAGTCAGGCTGACCAGTTGGCTCTTCCAATAGTTCTGGCTCAGGTCTGCTAAGAAAGTCCCATTTATTTTATCCATTAATGCCATTGTGGGTGGTAGGATTGACTGAATTTTAAAGGTTAGACCAGGACTAGATTAAATAATTAATGCTGCTTTAAAATATTAAGACTGATAAAATGTTCACATTTTACATGTGATTTGTAGCATTTTAAATTCTTGAAAAAAACTGAGGCATATTGTTACTTTTATTGTGTTCTGGTTTTATCATTTTGAGTTATACTTTTAACTGTTTATTTTAAAAAAAAATTTCAATAGATATGTGACTTTTGTTTATTTTTAGCTAAAAGATTATAAATTGGGAGTCTGGGGTCTGACATATAAAAGCATAGCATTTACTAAAAAGCAATTTTCGAAGTAACCATCTAACTAAACACTTAGTACAAATAAAAGTTTATAATCTACGAATAGAAATGATTACTGGTTTTATTCCTCACTAGTAGTTACATTGCATAGGAACAGGCAGTCTGGTGAAAATAAAAGCAAAATTTATAGGGTCAGTGATTTTGTTGCATTACTAAAAGCTGATTTTATAGTAATTTATCCTAAAAATTTCTACTAGAATACAGAAGAAAAGGAGCTTATTATCTCTCTAAATGTGGCAAAGAAAAGAAGCATGAACTTTAGGTGCTCAGATATAATCATTTTATTTGTGGAGCCCAAAAGGAACTTTCCCTTTTTTTTTCTTTTAAGATTTTATTTATTTATTCATCAGAGAGAGAGAGAGAGAACACAAGCAGGGGGAGTGGCAGGCAGAGGGAGAAGCAGGCTCCCTGTCGAGCAAGGAGCCTGATGCAGGACTCCATCCCAGGACCCTGGGATCATGACTTGAGCCGAAGGCAGGCACTTAACCCACTGAGCCCCCCAGGTGTCCCAAAAGGAACTTTTAATAGATCAATGAACTGTGTCTTTGAGTCGCATTGCTCTTTTAAAATTATTCTGTCATTTACTTAATTGCAACTGGGCTTAATCACCTAGCCTCCAGAAAAATGTTCATCATGCTTTGTTTTTCCTGACATCATTTCCAACCTGTCTCTTGCCAAGGAGGTGATCAGGAGTGTGTGTGGTCTGCCTCAATTGGCTCAGCACATCTGCTATTCAGAATAAAATGCCTTTGAGAATGGGAATTAAGTTTAGAAGGCCTGTAAAATGGACACTAAAAAATAGTATGGAATATAAGTATACTTCACTTTCTGTAAATCTGTATATAAATCCAGTGCTCCAAAGCAATCTGTATTTGAAATATTTTAGGCACTGTTTACTTTTAGAGGATTCCTATTGTGAATCTTTCATAAATTGTTTGAAATATAAAGTACTTACCTTTTTTTTTTAGAGATGGAAGGGGGAGAGAGGGAGAGGGAGAGAGAGAATCTTAAGCAGGTTCCACACCCAGTGTGGACCCCAGTGCAGGGCTCAATCTCACAACCCTGAGATCATGACCTGAGCCAAAATCAAGAGTTGGATGCTTTAGTGACTGAGCCACCCAAATGCCCCCTTACTTTTTTAATTTGTCAATCTAGACTCTGTCATCTGGCTTTATTTTGTTTTGTATTCTCAATCTCATAGTTTATCATATCACATCTTATTTTATACAGGTTTGTTGGTATACAATTACTACAAAATTCATTCATGTTAAGAGCACAATGTAATGATTTTTACATTGTAAGACCTACTAAGTTGGGCAACCTTTGCCACATCCAATATTAGAACATTTGAGTCACTCCTAAGATTCTCATGCAATTTGCACTCAGTCTCTGTTCTCACCACCTGTCCTAACAATCACTAATCTTCTTTGTTTCTATAGATTTGCATTTTTCTGGACATTTTGGATATATGGAATCAGACAGTGTGGTCTGATTCTACTTTTTGTTTGTTTATTCATTTTTTTTTTAGATTCCACATGCAAGTGAAATCATATGGTATTTGTCTTTCTTAGTCTGATGTACTTTACTCAGCATAATACCCTCCAGCTCCATCTGTGTTGTTGCAAATGGCATGATCTCATCCTTTTTATGGCTGCATAATATTCCATTGTTTAGAGATACCATATCTTCCTTATTCATTCATCTGTCAGTAGACATTTAGATTGCTTCCATATCTTGGCTATTGTAAATAATGCTGCAGTAAACATAGGGGTACATATACCTTTTGAATTAGCATATATTAATGCTCATTTATAATTTTCTTTTTCTTTAGGTAAATATCCAATAGTGGAAATATTGGATCATAAGATGTTTCTATTTTTAGTTTTTTGAGAAGCCTCCATACTGTTCTCTACAGTGGCTGTATCAGTTTGCATTCCCACCAATCGTGCATGAGGGTTCCTTTTTCTCCACATCCTTGCCAACACTTGTTATTTCATGTCTTTTTTTAATCTAGCACATCTTCTTTTTTCATTCAGCAGTGGATATGTGTGTGTAATGGAATATTACTCAGCTATCAAAAAGAATGAAATCTTGCCATTTGCAATGATGTGGATGGAGCTAGAGTGTATTATGCTAAGCGAAATAAGTCAGTCACAGAAAGACATACCATGTGGTTTCAATCATATGTAGAATTTAAGAAACAAAACAGATGAACATAGGGGAAGGGAAAAAAAGAAGGGGGGAACAAACCATAAGAGACTCTTTAACTCTAGAGAACAAACTGAGGGTTGATGGAGGGAGGTGGGTGGGGGATAGGCTAGATGGGTGATGGGCATTAAGGAGGGCACTAGCTGTGGTGAGCACTGGGTGTTATATGTAAGTGATGAATCACTAAATCCTACATCTGAAACCAATTTTACCATATATGTTAACTAATTAGAATTTAAATAAAAACTTGAAGTCAGTAAACAAACAAAAAGCCAAGATATGTCAAAAGCTAAGCCTCTTGTGCCAAACAGTTATCCAAGTTTGAGGATGCCAAAAAAAAAAAAAAAAAAGCTCTTGAGGTAAATTAAAAGTGTTACTCCAGTGAACACATGAGTGATAAGGAAGCAAAACAGCCTTATTGCTGATATGGAGAAAGTTTTAGTGGTCTGGATAGAATATCAAACCAGCCCCAACAGTCTCTTAAGCCAAAGCCCAATCCAGAGCAAGGCCCCAACTCTTCAATTCCATCTATGAAGGCTGAGAAAGGTAAGGAAGTTGTTTAAGAAAAGTTTGAAGCTAGTGGTGGTTGGTTCATGACGTTGAAGAAAAGAAGCCATCTCTATAACATAAAAATGCAAGATGAAGGAGCAAGTGCTGATGTAGAAGCTATACAGCAAGTTTGCAGAAGATCTAGCTATGAAAAGTAATGAAGGTGGCCACACTACACAAGAGATTTGCAATATAGACAAAACAACTTCTGTTGGGAAAAGATGTCACCTAGGACTTTCTTAACTAGAGAGGAGAAGTCAATGCCTGTTTTTAAATTTCAAAAAAAGGCTGACTCTCTTGTTAGGGGCTAATGCAGCTGGTGACTTTAAGTTGAAGCCAATGCTCATTTTTAAATTTGAAAATTCAAGAGCCCTTAAAAATTATGCTAAATCTACTCTGCCTATACTCTAGAAATAGAACAACAAAGCCTGGATGATAGCAAATATGTATACCATATGGTTTACTAAATATTTTAAGCCTATTGTTGATGCTTACTGCTCAGAAAAAAATATTCCTTTCAAAATATGACTGCTCATTGACAAGGCACCTGGTCATCCAAGAGCTCTAATGGACATGTACAATTAGATTAATGTTTTCATGCCATCCATTCTGCAGCCCACGGATCAAAGAGTAATTTTGACTTTTAAGTCTTACTACTTAAGAAATACATTTTGT